AATTACTGTAGCTGCTCATAAAAAAGTTAGGAACTACTTGCTTCCATTAAACTAAAAAGTAAAATCAATATTTAAATCAAAAGGTTCAGTCCTTTTAACAAGTTTCTGTACTTTTGCAAATACTGAGTATATGCAGAAATCTCACTGGCTGCCAGAACAGAACCACAGAACTGTTTAGGTTGGAAGGGGTCTCTGCAGGCCACCTGCTCCAAGCCCTCCTCTTCCCCTCGTACCAACCCCTGCTCAAGGCAGGGCCAGCTTCCAGCGGGTCGCTCTGGGCTGTGTCCAGTTGGGTTTTCGGTCTCTCCAAGGATGGAGGTTCCACAGCCTCTCCAAGCAACGTCCTCTGGTGCTCTGCCACTCTCACCTTAACTCTCTGCTCCAGCGGAGCACAGCCAGTCTCCCCAGGAGACTCACTTCAGCTCCCAAAACAGAGGAGTTCAGGCACAGCTTGTTTGGGTGAGGCTCAGCTCTCTGCACCGTAATATGTAATGATGGAAAGGCACTTTCCAGCCAACTAAAATTGCAGTAGAATATGATTGCTTACTTAAAAAAAAAAAACAAAGTATTGTAGGATCTTATTATGTACACGTGATCAGAGTTTATTTACATTTCAACATAAAAAAAAAGTATCATACAAACCTCATTTCTGGTACTAATTTCTATCAAGTGGTAACATTACAGCAAGGGATGATTTACGATAAGAGACTTGGTGATTTAATGGAAGCGTGAGGTCTCATGGAAATATTTCTGCTAAAACACAAGTGAGGAAACAGTTAACAATGTTAAATTTTCAGTATTAGGGTTCAGGATAACAACCAGCTGCTTGAACGCAAGTGAAAATCCATCTATCTTTCAAGCTCGTGTTTCAGTCAGCCTGCTGGCAGGACTTGGGTGCCATGCACTGCTGTCACTTTCCACCGAGCTTCTGAATGCCAGCTTTGCTATGTAACCCACTTAAACACAATCCTTACACCTTCCAGCTCATCCTTCTGCTAAGCAAATGCGAGTACGTAGTAAATTCCACAGACATGGAACCACGTGCTTGGAGATTCTCAGAAAGACGCACGTTTTCTGGTTGCGTAGCTGCTTTTCAAGTAGCTTTTGTACACCGTGTGCTTTCATGACCTGGTTTCTTGATGTGTGCTCAGCTTAAGGAATGGCTGTGTAGTCATTTTAACCTGACATAAATCCAGTTTCTCACTAACGTGGTTCTTGTTACCAGCTGCTCACACTCACTGCCTCCCTTGCGCCAATTCACTCACTCATACACCTGAGCTATAAATCACAGCAGGGAACCCATCCTGCTGAAAAAATCAACTTTTTCCCACTTTGCTGAGTTAGGTTTGGCTTCATGCTATGTTTAATCTGATGTAACTCTGCCCCATCCCCTCCTTGTGCTGCCCACAGCATGCTAGAAAACAAAATCATGAAAAAAAATAGTCTTGATTTTGGAGCCAGATCAGTCCACTCATCCAGCTCACTGCAGAGCCACTTCAATAACAGTATGAGCATGAGGAGCGAGTGCTAGCGCCTAAAAAGCAGGTGTCTTTCAATAGCAGCCTGCACACACGCTGCTTTAAATACATAGTTTTGGCTGTTTATATCCTAGAAGTACTTTGTCAGATGAAATATTAATAAACAAGCTCACAAGAGCGTATAAATCATCACCTTGCAAGCTTTTCAATATACTACTATAGTAGAAGATGCATTTTTACTTTCTCATTCTTGAGTTATTCTCTTTTCTTCAGCGGATGTCTGTTCACTATCAAACTCAGAAATACTGGCCTGTATTTATTCATAATCTGCAAAATCTGAGTGTAAGACCACGTCCTAAATAAATCCTAAAGCGAAGCCAATCAGAACAGATTAATTCAACAAAATATGTTTTATTTTCACACAGTATTCTTTATGTTAATGACCACAAATGTAAGATGAAAAAATTGAAATAATTAAATACAAATATTTGTACAAAAGCCGATTTCAAAACCTTAACCACAAAAAAAAAAAAGATGAAGTCCTTTAAAGGAATAATACTTCACATCCTCGTGATCAATAGCACAGTAGAAAGAAAGGGAAAATCTTAGCCTACTGACAAATATTACAGTTGTGTATAAGAAATATGACAGTTTTTATATTCTACATAATTATCTTAATATAATTTTTATAAGAAATTGTATCTTGCTACCAATCTAACAAGCATGACTGTATGACTATTCTTTGTATTTAAAAAGATATGAGTAGAATGACAGGGGTCAGCTTGTCTGTGAGTGCTGTTAGGTATAAGGTACAGGAAAACAGCATACACAGAAATTAGAACATTTTCATTATTCAGATAAACAGCCTTGGGGTGTCTTAATATATTGGACCAGAATGAGCTTAGTGGGTGAGGATTCATCTTTGGTAAGACTTCCATAAAATCACTGTCATCTTAAAATATAAATACAGAAGTGACATAACTGATGTTTAATCTGGAGTTTAGGATACTCCAGCTGCACCGGAGGACAGATATAAATGAATGTGCGTGGTTTACATAAAGTCAGTTAGCTTGGCAATTTGCCCAAGTTTATTATTTTTTTTATTTACTAATGTCAGTAATTCAGGGTGTGGGCTGACATTACAGCTAAACAGCACAGCCAACTACTGTCAGACAGCAGCCTTGCTTCTAGCATGCCCAGCTGTGCGCTCCTGACATCTCCTTCATGCCAACACTGGGAATCACCTAATGCCATACCGAGCCAGTTCAGGCAATTAAACCTCAGAAAACCAATCCCACAAGAAGTGGTGATTATCTTCAACCAATTTGGCCCTGTGACCTTCAGAAGTACATAAAAACACCTGTATGCAAGTACTTTAAAACCGTACAAAAAAAAAAAAAGCTATTTGAATATCCTGTGAAGTAATACTTCCTAGCTCTGTTGCGTTCAATAAGCTGGGGAAAGGAAAAATCTGACAAACTTTACAGTTGCTTATAAGGAATATTAAAGTTTTTATCTTATATTCTTCTTATTTCTACAACTTTAAAAATGTGAAAATGAAGGTAAACAGTTGTTAGCAGAAATTTTGATTTCTTCTTCATCAGTTAGGAACTGTTAGTCTCCCGCTGGAGCTCCTCTTGGCTCAATTTGTAGTTTCTTTTTAAGCGACTCTCCAGAGTCAGACTCTTCTTCACCTAGCAGAAACTGTGGGCTAACCTAAGAAGGGCCACTTTTAAAGTTGTGAACAAATCTGCAGTCAGAGACCACCTAGCACCCTGACCTCCAAGGAACTGAGTTCCATCGTCTGTTTTCAGGTGCCCCTCGCTTGCACAAATGCTTTTCCAATTCTCAGCGACCTCACTACTCCCTTTGTACCGAGAGGCCTAAAACCCCTCAAACAGAAGTACAAAATGGGAAGCCATTTCGCCATGCAGGCAGGCTCTCTCCCCCTCACACCAGGCTGCCTGGGAAGCTCCCCACTTTCCTCGCAGGTGACAGCTCTTCCACTCCTACTACTGACAGCCACGACGAGCAGAGTGATCAAATACCGGGTCGGGCCTCCCTCAGCACTCCAGCTACGATTATTTACCCGGTGGAGGAGAGCCACGCCGGTTCCCCCCAGCGGCTGAAACACAGAAATTCACTCAACAGTTAAGAGTCCAAAATAACCGTTAAGCAGGTATTATTAGCCACGCTGGGGATCACTCCACCACCAGTGCTCCAACGGACAGGTAAAAATAGAGAAAATATGCTGCGAGGTTATACACATTCAGCAGATTTCCAAAAACTAATTACATATACATAAGATTCCCTGGAACTTATGTATATGTCTGAGCATGCGTCGTAAAATTAGGGTTAGGGTCTTTTCCTCCTCGGGTGGTCGTGCAGTGTCTGCTGATTGAATTTTGGGTTTCCTTCGCCCACATACGGCCATGGAGTGAGCTCATCCGTTCTTCGGATGCTCCAAACTAACTCCCCGGTGCTTGACAATGGCGCCCTGGGCTCCTGCTGCCAGGGGGACTCGGGGAACTTAACGGTTAAGGTCTACCTAAATTTGACCAGGGGAGAAGCTGCCTTGCTTCGAAACATTTTAGCTCCGCCTAGCAGTTGACTACGCCAGTGAAATGAAGAAAATAATACTGTTAGCGGTCGCAATCGCGAATAGAACTTATCTACACACAGCAGATAAGCAGGCACTTCTTCATTCCAGCGCTGGGGAACACGGGGGATAACTCCGCCAAAGACGTGTTCGTCGATAGGTACAAAGCACAACATATTTATACACTTTTTCAGCAGAGTCATAGTTACATAAGATCAATAATTCCATAACGTTTAAGCTGACCTTTATAATGATTGGCTTTTAGTTACTTCTCCCTACCTATATTCCTATTCTACAGAAATCATTGGTCATCCTCACTAATTGATTTAAATAGAATGGGGGGAGGGCAATGATTAGCATATTCATGTTGTTTCTTGGAAATTATTATCATATGCAAATGTCTCCAACGCATGCGTGGTTATACTGGATGGGGGTCTCTGGTGGTCGTTGATAGTCTTCATCACTGTGTCCGCTTGATTGAACTCCATCCTTGCGCATGCTCATTCCACCTTTGGTTAATGTTCACCTCTCCCTTGCCCAATCTTTCCAACCAAACCAGTTTTCCTCAGGTACCTATTGTTTCAAGTCAAGATCCATAACCAGTACCCATTACGTTAATTCAGAGCCCATGACGATTCTTATAATGTTCAAAGCACACAGCTTATTAGTTGCTTAATCCTAAGGGCCTTAGTGTACTTTATATTTTCAGAGCTACTGTAGCTTCATGTTAAATCAAAATCATACTTTTAAACTAAAATCAAAATAATATTCTAGGATTCCAACTGTTTCATTAAGGTAACTGCAACAATACGAGGCGGTCGCCCTGACCAACGGGGCGCCCTCATCCCCCTCAGCCACAGGCCCCGCCCCGGCGCGGCGTCACCACCCGGCGGCGCGCGCGCGCGCACCTCGCGCAGGTCCCACCACCACCACCCCCCCGCGGCAACGGCCCGATGGGAGGAGCCGCCCCCCCCCCGCGCCTGAGGGAGGGACAGGGAGGGAGGCCGCCGCCATGGGGGAAGCGGCGCAGCCCCCGCGGCCGGGGATCGGCGTGGGGGTGGTGGTCACCAGCGCCGCGCACCCCAGCTGCGTCCTCCTGGGCAAGAGGAAAGGCCCGGTGGGGGCCGGTACCTACCAGCTCCCTGGAGGACACCTGGAGTTCGGGTAGGACAACCCCCTACCCCCCCCTTCCTCCCTCCTTCCCTCCCGCCCGGCGGCGCGGGGAACCGGCTGCCTCCCCCGGCGCCGCCGCTCCCCGCGGCTGAGGCGGCCGTGCCCCCCCACACACACAGGGAGAGCCTGGCGGACTGCGCCGCCCGCGAGACGCTGGAGGAGGCGGCGCTGCCGCTGCGCAACGTGCGCTTCGCGTCCGCCGTCAACGCGGCCTGCGCCGCCGCGCGCTACCACTACGTTACCGTCCTCATGAAGGGGGAGGCGGAGCCGCGCAACCGCGAGCCGGAGAAAAACGAGGGTGAGGGGGCGCGCGCGCGCGGCGATGGCGGGTCGGTCCCTTTCCTCGGCCGTGTCGAAAGGCGCGTCCGAGCGCGTTTTAGCTTCGCGGGCTTTGTGTTTCCCTTTGTCGCGCCACACTTCGCCACAGATGAGGTCAGGCTGCGGGTACGCGTGTTCTGTGAAAACACGGGTGGCCGGTGGGGTCGGGACTTGGCGGGAGGAAAGCGATGAAGTGGCTGCGTGCGGCTGGGAACTTGAGTTGGGAGTTTTTGCACAATCCATCCAGACTTGAACAGGCAGAATTGCTACGTGATTAATTTTATACTCGAGGTTTTTTTTGGGGGGGGGTTTAATTTCTTTTTTTTTTCCCCTACAGGTTGGGAATGGGTTAAATGGGATGAATTTCCTCCAGCAGATCAACTGTTCTGGGCCTTGCGCTGTTTAAGAGAGCAGGGTTACAATCCCTTTACCGAAGAGCTCGATCATCTGAAAGGGTACACGGGAAGTCACCAACTAGCGTAAAAACTAATTGTACGTTATGTAACAAAGCGAAGGACTGACCTGCTTTTTCGGTGTAAAAAAGGATATGTCATGCTCATGCTGCCCATGTGAAATTACTACCCTTCCCACACCCAAAATGATGCCAAATATTTCAGTGCTTTTACCATATTTCACATGACGGTTGTCTCTTGTTCCAGAGTTATTTCTTGCTCTAGTGGTTAACAATTAATGTTTTCTTTTATAGAAAACTCATAGTGGTTTATCTGGTTAATCTTTAAATAGCCCTTTGGAGGTCAGAACTAGTCAGAGAAGTTTACTCACTTGGAGATAGTTGCAGCATCAGGCCCAAGAGAAACTGTTTTGTTTAAACCACTGTCCTGCTTCTGTGTAAAACTACTTTGTACATCATTCTGCTTTCCTGCATTTATAAATCTTGGACCAATTTTTAACCATAGCCTTGTCTCGTAGCTTCAGTTAAGCTATCATCATGAACAAAAGTCACATTTTACAGACAATGCCGCCTCATTCTCCTGCAGACAGTAGTATATACTTGAAAATACGGGTATCATGAAACGGTTGCAGTGGCTTGTTGTAGGGAATTAAAATTTCTTGATTCTTCTTACCACCCCCTTTCATTACCGAGTTCTGTTTGTAGTCTTGGTTACGTTAGAATTTATCTGCAGAAGTGTTTTAGATCTCTGCAGTTGATCTTAATTCCTGATCGTGTTACTAAACTCTTAACAGTTTAATGGAGAGGTGCCTGCAGTCTTCTACTAGGCTGACACCAGAAACATTGTACAAACTAACCTAATTTATAGGTGTAGTTCAACAGCAGACAGCCACGCTTTTTGGCTAAAGATGGTTGTAAGTGTTAGCACAGATGGGTATAATTCTGTGTGGCTACTGGGATTTGATATAATTGTTAATTTTCAGTTTAATGTGACTAAATGATTTAATGAAATCACGGTACAGAGATACATGCAAAAAAAATAGGTTTAAATTTTTATTTTTTCTAGAATCTGTTACCAAATTTTATTCTTTTCCAGCTGTAGTCACTGGGACATCAGCAATTAATTTTAGGATATGACTTTTAAAAAATAACTTACAGGCTCATTTTTTTTTCCTCTTCAGGGTTCTTTTAAAACACAGTTTTTGCCTATTTCCTTTAGATACGCCCCATGTACAGAACGTTCTGAGACACCTTTAGCTTCTTTTAAATAAAACATAAGCACAATACTGAAAGATTAAAATTGTCTGAAATGGACTTGTCAGTTCTTAAAAGAAATTAACTCCTTACTTTGCATATACATTTTCTTAAATGGAGGTGGCTCTTTTTTGCCGAGAAACAGACAGAGCGACATGAGCTATAAGGATGCTACTGATGATCACAAGCCTCCTGCTTAGAATTTGAAGTATTAACTATGTGCAACTTCCCTTAGGACAGACATTCTTTCTCTGAAGTGAAGAAAGAAGATAATGTTATAAAGCAGTTTTGAAATTGGAAATATCACTGAAAATGCCTTACTAGTGTATCTTTGTAGAAAGCTTATTTTTTCTATTCAAAAGTGGAGATTTTCTTCCTGAAAGCCACTTTATATACACTGAAAATTATTCCATTCAGCTGTCAACAAAGAGGCTGTAAGAAGAGTTGACAGATGTCCTGCCCATCTGTCCCATAGAATAATGAAAAAAGAAAAATAATATTGAAATGACTTAGTGCAATTTTAAATTTTAGAAGGCACCTAGACCCTGATAGGAAAACCAAGGTCACTGTAAAATGGCTTGTCATGCAATAAATATTTTGTTACTATTAATGGTTATATTCATTCTGTCTGTTGTAAATATACAAGTAGCTACTGAAATGAGGACACAAACAGTACCTCCATATGTCAGGGTTTCTGTATCCTTTCTAAGTGGACCAATTAAATTACTACAGTGCATTACTGCCATCAACTGTCAATTAATCTTCAACTACCTTAAATAACTTGTTGAGTGTGTGTCATACACTTGTACTTCCCCCTTCCCCACCCTCCAAAATTTGATTCTCAGTAGTTTTTAAGCTGCTAAGGCTCTGTCCTTTCAACTAAAGGTTAAGTGTACTTTGATTTTTGGTACTTTTGCTGAATAGGTAAATCTATTATGTAGGTGAACAGTGGGCAGAACTGTCATCAGTTACCTCCTTTCTGCAAAGTATCTACAAAATGGAAAAGTGGAGAGAATTGTGATCTGTGCTTCAGGAAGCCTCATTGTAGGACAGAAACCTGTAATGGCCAAAAGCAACAGTTCACATAAGTAACCCTCTGATCAAATCAGAAAACTACAGAGAAAAGTACCTATCGAAATGATTCCTTAAGCAAAACAGACCAAGGAAAGGAAAGCCAAGGGAAGTGCCTTGGGAAGATGAAAGAACATTGTAGCTGAGGCAGGAAATGCAACTGCTAAAGTAAGCAGATTAGAGCAGGTTCAAAGAACTGAAAAAATTAGAGGTGACAAGAATAAAGAATCTGTGAGCACTCTGAACTGAAAGGAGCTGAACCTGCAGCGTGCCCCAAAGCGCGTCATCTCCAGGGTCCCAGGATGCTTAACCAAAGTACTGGTGAAAATCTTGTGAACCAGCACTCTACATCACTGCCTCAGGGTCTGCCCAGTCATGTGTGTACCTGATAAAGCTCAGCGGAGAAAGACAAACTTTCAGTTCCTGACTCCTCAGCTGCTTCTAATACTGACTTGGCATTTTGCAAATGAGAAAATGGAGTACAAACTTCTGAAAGTCAATCAGAATCCAACCACATACTGGGATAAAACGTGCTGAGTATTTAAGTTACATAATAACTCATCTCGGATTTCGGTTTGCAAAATGAAATGTAGTTACATCAAAGCTGAGTTTATTTATGACAAATTCATTATATATTACAATAATTACAAACTTTACACCTTATTGCCGTATTTTTGTTCTCAGCACACACAAAGATGATCAAGAACATGGATTTAGGCAGTAACAAAGATATTAAAATTACAAATTTCATGTCTCATTTCTGTGCCGTAGAAAAGGCTATCATCAAAAGAGTGAAGTTACTACAGTACGAGGGGATTCCCCTTACACCTTTTTTCCCAGGAACTTTTGTCATCTAAATGTATAGTAAATATATGTATGCACACGCGCATGTCTTGTGAACATACACATTCACACATTTACATAATCACTGGAAATCTGACATCTCTCCTCCAGCAGAAAGCTCCCAGTAATTTTACTTGAACGTCTAATGGAAAAAAAAAAAAAAATAATAATTCTGAAGTCCATGTTTTATGTGTCACCCTACTTCTGAGCCAGCTATTATCTTCTCCCTACACAGGGCCGCCAGCATAACAAAAGGGTATCGCAGTTTGTGACGGACAGCATCCAACCTACCTTCACCACAGGAAAGGTCTACTAGGGATACTGTCCCTCCTGTACCTAGTCTGAGTCACTGCTGCTGCTTGAGGAGTCTGTTGACATAACTTCTACATCATCTTCATTCTCTTTATTGTGTCCTGGAGGCTCCAACATGAAGTCATTACTATGATTAGGAGGTAGCATGTTCATTGACATATCACTTGACTGCCAAGGATACTGAGGAGCGAGCACATCTGGAAAAAAGGGGCATAATCAAACTATCAGCTTTGTATATCAACAAATTCAAAAAGACAGTTCAACCAGAATTCCGATTTAAAATTAAACGAATCTTAAAATCCTTACTGAGTTTTGGACAGATCAAACCCTCCAGTAACAGCTGGAAAACATCTCATGATGGAGCCATTCTATCACTGTAAAAGGCTACTCTGCCAACGAGGTCCATTCATGTAGGTGGCTCTTGATCTCTCATTACCACTTTGAAACACTATATATTCATACAGAGCTTTTTACCTTCAAAGCACAGTTTGAACTGACTTAACATTCACAACCACTGGCAGTAATGAAAATGGACACCCTCTGTCAGTATGCAAAAACAGATGAAAATATTAGATCAAAGAAATACTTAAGGCAGACCATAGAAATTCAGACTAAAACGTTTTATTCAAATTTGGCTGAAACACCTTGGTTAGCATTTTTCCAACAGCAAATACGGTGCATCAAGTGCAAAGGAGAAGAGCTTCCTACTACAAAACCAGGGCCACAGACAGATACTTGAGAGGTGGGAATGCCCCACTGTACTCCAGCCAGGCCAGCCCCAGTTGCCTCTGACGTCTCTCAGCTCTCACCGTTCTCTTCCTACTTCGAAAGCCACCCCATGCTGTACTCTCTACCAACCTACTCTCCCCACACAACATTTCTCAGTCTCCCCCTCTCTCGTCCCCAAAATGGCTCCCATTTCAAAGCTGCAGTACACATCTCCATGCCATTTCTGCTCCCTTCCTTTCAATTTATGCTCCTACTGCTGTGCCTCAGGTCTCCAGTTATTACCAGGCACCGTAGCTAAGTCTATCCCACAGAATAAACCAGCTATCTCCCACTTACAGCAAAAATTAAAAATAATTAGGCAGAGTCAGGAGTGAACAGAAGGCCACATATGTGGGACTCTGAGTACAGAAAGAGGGGGCACTGTCTAAGCAGTAGGTCATAGAAGGTAGACTTACTGTCACTCAGGCACTGCTGGATTCAGAAGCACACCGACTCCACACACGTAGTAGCTTCTGATCTTTAAGTCTGCAGACACCTGAGGCTCCACATATGAACGACATCCACAATCCTCTAACCCCAGATGCATTACGTAGCTGTACAAATCCGACCCACTGGCAGATGCAAGGACAAAATGCAGCCTTTATGCCAGTTCCGTGCCCACTTGAGGAAGACCAACAATAGTACCAGGTGGTCTCATCCCAGCTGCGGTGAGGTCAATCAACTTTATTTGAACCAGCTAGGAATATAAGCCAGTGTTTCACACACTGTGGCCATGCTTCAATGCTGGAACCAGTTCACCATTAAACCAGGTCGAACGTGCCTACTAAGCAGCCTCAAAGTTTTGAGGCTACAGAGCAGCCCAGTGACTGGCTTGCAGACTCAGTAAGGACTCAGTAACTGGACATCTCTCTGCAGAAGTCTCTAAAAAGACTAGATCCTGTAATTACCATTCTCAGCACATGCCTCCACACACCCAATAGATTCAGCATCCCTACACAAAATGCTGGGGCAGGCTCTACTTTCTTTTAAATGAAGTTTTGATGTTTCCTTCTTCCTTGACAGTCTAGTAATTAGAGGATTTCCCCCGACATAGGAGACCCAGATTCAATTACCAACTTTACTTGAGTTTAAATCCCATGTTTTCCAGCTTCTCAAGGAAAAGTCCTGAAGAGTGGGCTTTCAGTTCTTACAGAAACAGCACTCAAAAGGAGCAAGTCTGCATCCCCCCTAAAGCAGAGGAGCCAGCCAGAATGGGCTCCACCAAAACTTATGCAAATAAATGCTCAAACTCCATGAGGAAGATACAACTTCTCCCCTGACCATATTTCAAAAGAACAGAAGACAGATGGGCCCATTCTCAGCATCTCCCTGGTGAGTTGCTATGGACAGATATCAGGGTCCCACTCCTATTCAGCTCACTGACCCATTTTATCCAAGGCCAGAGGTTTAGAAAGCAAGATGATTGAGAACTAGACAGATGATCAAAAAAAACAAAATCCAATTTTACTATTTCTCCAATGGAGTAGTGAGACAGGGGTTTTTTAATATATTCAGTAAAATTTTTGAAAACAAGCTTTCTGTAACACCTGCAAATGGCTTAACACATTAAAAACTGTTACAGATCTCCTATGAATCCAAACTAAGAATTTTTCCACAATCTAGTCTAGACATGGTAGATTAACGCTGCACAGGCACCAAATCACTACATTCTTGATTCAGTTACTGTAATTTACTGCTAAATTCTATTTTAGCATGAATAAATGAATCCCACTAAAGTCAATGCAGGTGCCCATTTCACTAAGCAATTAAAGTTTGATTCCTGCGCTCAAGGTACCACCTCACCAGTTGTCCTTTGCAATGTCTTTTCAATGCAGAACTTCTAAGCAAGTCTTGCCATACAGAGAGTAGACTTAAAGTAAGGTAGGGAATACAATACACCTCTTTTCTTCCAAATACAGCTTTCCTAATTCCATACTTTCATCACAGCTAAGAAAAGTTTGCTTTGAAAATGCTTCTTTGTGATATGATTTGGTACCACTTATTTTACAGCAGTTTAAAATAAGTGAATTGAAGGGTAACTAAAGGAGTTTTGATTATACTGACTTCGCTGTAGTGTCTACAGTATGATTTAGCATGAAATAAAATTATCCAATTTCTAATTGTTAATTTTATTTATTACATCTTCACTGCTAGGGAACAACGTTAGCCATAATTTTCAATATTTTAACTCTGAGTTTCTTTTGCTAAGGGATATGTGTAATTCCTATGACCGTACAATGAATAAAGAAAAGCAAACCAAAACTGAGTTTCTCTTACCTGGCAGTCTGCCCGCTGCAAGTGCATCCCCTGGCAAGTGTCCATTAACTCCATTGGTGGATGGGTTGTTCATCTGACCCAAGAGACCACTCCTCATTTCCAGATCTGTAGGATATGGCCTACGTGGATCCCCTTTAAGAAAAAAAAAAAAAAAAAAGGCAACGGAATGTTTTTAAATGTTTAACAATTGTCTTGCAGACATTAACTTTTTCTTCGGCACCTAGTTTCATAGAATCATAGAATGGTTTGGGTTGGAAGGGACCTTAAAAATCATCTAGTTCCAACCCTTTGCCATGGATCCTTGAATATTAACCAGCCTTCTTCGGCCCCTCTTCCCTC